ACTAATCTGAAAAGTTTTCAAAATAAATCACTGTTTAAAAATGTATAGTGTGTACCTTCTAAAAACGAAACCTACATCTATTTCTGAGTTGTAAAGAATACATATTAAGGTTATAACAACCAACAAGAATGCACTTTTATGTAGAAATCCATGAGTAAATCAAGTCTTCCTGACTAGTGATGTAAATCAATTTGATTTAAATCAAATCCACCCTGATTGAAGATCACTCATTCTGAACTTAAATGCTTTCAGTGCTTTCCCAATCCCACTTGCCCATCCTCAACTACATGCCCTGCGTGGAAATGTAACAAAGGGAAGATTTTCAAAAGAGGTCAGGGCCAGGTTTTTAAGAGGGCAGCACCAAAAGCTGGGGCCAGATTTTCAAAATTGCTCAGCTGCCAGCAGATTCCACCGTGACATTCAGAGGCAGATTTTCAGATCAACGTGCACTGAACTGTGACAGATTTGAGACCTGGGAAGTGTACGGAGTTCAACCAGTGATGCTGGAATGTGCCAGATGGGCATGGACTTTTGGGACAATAAGCTGTTTGAGTTCCCTGGGAATCCTTGGGGAATGGTTAGTGCAAATTCCACAACTGCATTTATGTAAAAAACCAGCCTTTTGAAGCTATGCCCTGAGGAGAAAGCCATTGACTGGTGACTACCTGTTCCTAGAGATCAAAGGCCTGAGCTGTATAAATAAGCTGCTGAACTGTCCAGGTGGGTCTGGTTCCTGATCTAAAAACTGACAAACATGTAACCAAAGGGGTAAACTCAGCGTAGGATTTGAAAGACTGACACATACCAGAGCCCTGTGTTGGAGCTGGGGGTGACCTCTGATAAGCTTTCAGAATGCATGTAGGTTCTTAAATTGTTTTTTATGTTTTCTCTGTAATGCTTTTTGCCCTAAGAATAAATGCAGTTTGTTTTGTGAAGGCTGGTTGGTGACTGGTGAGCACTGTTATGGTCCCTAAAGAACGAGTAAACCACAGGTGCTGGACCCCAGTCAGACCTGCAAAAAACCACAGTGAGGTGCAACAGGACTGCAAGCCCAAACCCCCATCTGAAGGGAGAGAGTGGCAGGTCTCTTCCCCAAGGAGAGGTAATGACTGCGTGCCCTCGAAAAAGACCAGGGGTGGCTAGGTGGGTGGGGGACAAAGGTGCAGTTAACCCAGAAAACTGTGACACCATACATATTTTGATTTGACATGAGGCTTCATAACTTTGAAAAGGTAATTATTTGTACACATTGGCCTCTCTCTTGTTTTAGGTCTTTGGAAGCAGAACAGCTATACCAGAATAAAGTCACTTTTATTTCAAAAAGAAAAGGAGTACTTGTGGCACCTTAGAGACTAACCAATTTATTTGAGCATAAGCTTTCGTGAGCTACAGCTCACTTCATCGGATGCATACCGTGGAAACTGCAGCAGACTTTATATATACACAGAGAATATGAAACAATACCTCCTCCCACCCCACTGTCCTGCTGGTAATAGCTTATCTAAAGTGATCATCAGGTAGGCCATTTCCAGCACAAATCCAGGTTTTCTCACCCTCCACCCCCCCACACAAATTCACTCTCCTGCTGGTGCTAGCCCATCCAAAGTGACAAGTCTTTACATAATCAAGTCGGGCTATTTCCTGCACAAATCCAGGTTTTCTCACATCCCCCCCACCCCCATACACACACAAACTCACTCTCCTGCTGGTAATAGCTCATCCAAACTGACCACTCTCCAAGTTTAAATCCAAGTTAAACCAGAACATCTGGGGGGGGGGGGTAGGAAAGAACAAGAGGAAACAGGCTACCTTGCATAATGACTTAGCCACTCCCAGTCTCTATTTAAGCCTAAATTAATAGTATCCAATTTGCAAATGAATTCCAATTCAGCAGTTTCTCGCTGGAGTCTGGATTTGAAGTTTTTTTGTTTTAAGATAGCGACCTTCATGTCTGTGATTGCGTGACCAGAGAGATTGAAGTGTTCTCCGACTGGTTTATGAATGTGATAATTCTTGACATCTGATTTGTGTCAGATGTCAAGAATTATCACATTCATAAACCAGTCGGAGAACACTTCAATCTCTCTGGTCACGCAATCACAGACATGAAGGTCGCTATCTTAAAACAAAAAAACTTCAAATCCAGACTCCAGCGAGAAATTGCTGAATTGGAATTCATTTGCAAATTGGATACTATTAATTTAGGCTTAAATAGAGACTGGGAGTGGCTAAGTCATTATGCAAGGTAGCCTGTTTCCTCTTGTTCTTTCCTACCCCCCCCCCCAGATGTTCTGGTTTAACTTGGATTTAAACTTGGAGAGTGGTCAGTTTGGATGAGCTATTACCAGCAGGAGAGTGAGTTTGTGTGTGTATGGGGGTGGGGGGGATGTGAGAAAACCTGGATTTGTGCAGGAAATAGCCCGACTTGATTATGTAAAGACTTGTCACTTTGGATGGGCTAGCACCAGCAGGAGAGTGAATTTGTGTGGGGGGGTGGAGGGTGAGAAAACCTGGATTTGTGCTGGAAATGGCCCACCTGATGATCACTTTAGATAAGCTATTACCAGCAGGACAGTGGGGTGGGAGGAGGTATTGTTTCATATTCTCTGTGTATATATAAAGTCTGCTGCAGTTTCCACGGTATGCATCCGATGAAGTGAGCTGTAGCTCACGAAAGCTCATGCTCAAATAAATTGGTTAGTCTCTAAGGTGCCACAAGTACTCCTTTTCTTTTTGCTAATACAGACTAACACGGCTGTTACTCTGAAACTTTTATTTCAGAATCCAGTAATCATACAGGGAGTTATTCCAGAATAGCTACAGGGGAATAACTATTACCTATGTTGGCCAGTAGCCCTGTGTAGACAAGCCCTTGTATTTGGACTGCAGACACTCTGGGGCAGGGACTGTCGCTTCTTAGGTGTTTACACAGTAACTAGCACAGTGGGTCCCTGCTCTATGTTTGAGGCTTCTAAATGCTATGTGGCAAATTGCTGGCACAATTATGATGGGTCCCACGCTTCTTGTTCTTGTGGAGGGGGGTTCAGGGCGCAGTTTCCTGCCCCTGAACTAGGGTATCTACTGTTGTAACCCAGAGAAGAGTAGTGGAAAGAGAGGGACCTGGGCCCGCCCTCTACTCCAGGTCCCAGCCCAGGGGCCCTAGGGATAGTGGCAAACCACTTGAATTAGTGCTTCCTTCCCCTGGGCTAATTCCCTCTCCTGCTCTTCAGCTTGTGGGGTTCCTGCCCTCTCTCTGCACAAGCCGGGTGTCTCTTTACCTAGGGTCTTGGTCTTCTAGCCAGCCACAGCACTTCTCCAAACTCTCCTCTACTTCAACTCCTCCATACTGCACTCTGCTCCAACTCCTTCCCCTGGCTGATTGAAGCAGGGGGTTTTTATCAGATGACTGGCTTCAGGTGCTTTTAATTAAGCTATAGAAACCTTTCTTCCCTCTACAGGGAATAAGGCTTCTCCTCATCCTGGGACTTACATATCTCTCCTATATCACTCTCCTGCTGCCTTCTGGCCATGCTGAATCACAGCTACCAGAATAAATATAACAACAATAATGTTTGTGACACGGTTAGGTCTGAGCTGTACAAGACACTAATGTGGAGAGAGAGACTCTCCCAGAAGATCTCATGATCTAGAAGACAGACTTTGGAGAAGTAAGGACATGCTGGGAAATACAAAGAAGAGAACACTTTTTAAAAACACCACCACCACCTAGCCTTTATATTGTACTTTTCATCTGTAGATCTAAAAGCACTTAACAAAAGAAGTGATCATCATTATCCCCATTTCAGAAATGAGAGAGCCAAGGCACAGGGAGGTGAAATGACTTGCCCAAGATCACCCAGCAATCCAATGGCAGAGCTGGGCATCGAAGAGCAAGTCTCCTGAATCCCAGTTGAGTGCTCTAGCCACAGTAATGAGATGGAGAAGAAAATTATGTTATTTACCCAAGGAATTAAGGTTTTTCAAATTCTAAAGAAACAGGAGGTCAGTGGAAGAAGTAGAGACTAATGAGAACCAGGCCAAAATCTATTCTCAGTTATGCACATGTAATCCCACTGGCACTGGGCTCAAGAGAGGTAATTTAATGCCAGAAAAGATACATGAGACAATTCTGATATGATAGCATTTTAATGTCCACTTTGCACTGATGGAAACGATGCCACAAGGTTCAGCGTAACGGAGACTCAGATCCCATGGATTTTAAAAAAAGATTTTTCAATCTGTTTACGGAAGGGGGTGAAGACAATCCAGAAAAGCTAGATTACTCGGCTAAAAACAATTAGCTCCCTGAATTGATCTCCTTCACAGATTCTCATGCTCAGATTGTGCACTCAGAACAAAAACCTGGTACAACTTACAAATCAACGTTAGGTCACTGTACTACTTGGAAAATTTTAAAACACTAGTCCACACCTAGACCCAATGGACAAGAAGAACCAGGATGGGTCTATGGAGAAGTCACATTCAGAGACCATAAATTACAGCTATGTAACCCAGTTCCCCATCATTCTGCCTTCCTTCCTACACTGCCAGCATGCAATCCTAGGAGTTGTACCAGTGATTTCAATGAGGCCATGATTTCACCCCCAGTGTTCAAGACTAGAGACATTATTACAACGTCCAAACCAAGAGTTTTAGCACCAGCAGCCGTTGTACAGGTTTTCACCCATAGATTGTAAAGCTCTTTACAAGGGTGGGTTAGTGTCTTTAGCCTCGTTTTGCAGATGGGGAAAATGAGACACAGAGAGAGGATGTGACTTGCCCAGTGAGTCAGTGCAATGTTGGGAAAAAAACGTTAGGTCTACTCACGTCTAGCACCCTGCTCATGGTACTACTGCACTGCTGCCATACCTCAGAATACTGCTAAGCAAGAACAAGTTAAAGCTGGAATTCTTAGAAAACATCTCTCTTTTCAGGGGAGACTATAAAGGCAGAGCCCACTCCCCACAGTAACTGCTGGTGACTTGGAGCCATTTCCTTACCTTGGTACTACCCTCTTCTTCTTCGTCACAATCCAGCCCTTGATGGGAGATCTCAGTAGGGCCGGTCTCCTGGATCAGGCTGCTTCCCAATGTCCTCATCCTCTTGCTCTCAGTTGTCACTCTTACTTTCAGAATATGAAACCCAGTGGATATGGACCCAACTTTCAGGTTGACAGGATCTCCATCAAACAACAGGTTATCTGGGCTGCTGTCTTCCTTAAAGCCAGGGGGCTGGTAATCATCAGGAGTTACTGTGCAGGAAAGAGGGTCCTCGGTTGATAGAGAGACTAAATTCTAAGCCACTTTAATCTGCAATAATGGACAAATCCAGAACCTAGCCCAAGTAATTAGGCACGGCTCTGGATAGATTCAATTGGGGTGTGAAGTGCAAAGGAAACATCGTCCCCAGGACATCAAAGCTTCTGCAGCCCAATGGTGAGAGAAGCCTCCACAAGTCTTTCTGCAGCCCCCTGTTGCCCAGATATACGTGGGTAACCCCACTATCTTCATATTCTCCCCTCATTTACATCATCTAACCCAGTTGAAGGCAGTGAGGTTGAAGAGGTGCAACTGGGCAGCATTTGCTCTACAGAATCTTTATTATTAGTGAAGATACACAAGAAAGAAAGAGACCAGTTTAACGTCAGATCGAAGTTTGTGGGGCTGGCACCTAGGAGGAAAAAATATCTTTTTATGTGTAAACTTGCAGTGGCTTGGTGGTCTAGTGGAAACCTCCTGCTTTGTATGCAAATTCAAATCCTGGCTAATCTCTTACAGAAGTAATAAAAATTCTGTCCTACGATCTATTATGAAAGATGTCAGACTAGATTATCATAACAGTCCTTTCTGGCTTCAAAGTCTATTAACAGAGCACATTTGATCCAGAGTCACTCAGAGATAATAAACTTGGGCCTCTGTGTTGCCATTTATACACTCACTTTCTGGAGAAATACCAACCTAGCCAAGTATGTTTGCACCTCATACTGAGGTAAAGGGAAAGGATGTGTCCCTTTTCCATTGCCCAGCTGTATTTCTTACACAGTTTGTGACTATTTCCTTAAAAAGCAGGTGCCACATCTTTATGCACTGAATGGCACTATTCTATTTTGCATGCTGTCTCAACACAACAGCTTTCTGGGTCCAGATTTCACCTTTCTAGTCTTTGTTCCCTTTTACGGTGGCATGCGTTGCTCATGGGAGCTAACAGGAGGGGAAATCAGCTCGACGGGGCAGACTGTTCTCCACTTACCATCACTGTAGTAAAAGAGTTTCATGGTGAGGGTAATGTCATTGGGAAGGGGCCCGAGGTTCTGCATTAAGAGGTACAGCTTACGGATCAGCAGGATGCTACCTTTCTTAATCTCTTCACTGCTCACCCCCTTTGCAAAGCTCATTTTGGTGCTGTAACCAAAACAAAAGAGCAACTGAATCATTAATGTCCAAACCCCAATTAAAAATATTCAGCTCCCACTGGTTTGTCTTGCACTACAGTAACAGAGCTTCAGTGCTTTCATGTAGGCCTAACATGAATAGGGAAGTGACGCAGACTTTCAACAGTGGGAGATGGCATGAAGGAACACAATAGTCCAGAGTTAAGAATCGTGTAATTGACAAGTGAACAGATATTGTAACTGGGGCAATAAACTTCATTATACAAGCGTCATGATTCACTTGTTAGTACATGACTAAATTGGGCACAAGCAGCCACAATGCAAGTGCCTTTCACCTACTTGACTAGCTTCTAAATAATTTTCCTCTAAGGAATGGGGGGAATTGGGTGAGAATCACATGTACAACAAACTCAAAGAGGTTATGTTCAAGTCCGTCCTGTTCTAATTGAAGTGCGTTGAATGCCCTAACTTCAGTCCTAACATGACATGCTAGTCCAGGGATAAAATTTTCAAGCGTGCCTAAGAGACACAGGACCCTAACTCCATTGATTCTCAGTGAGACTTAGGCTCCTACATGTAGTTTATTCAAAGAACAGGACATTTTAATGAGGCCTGTAACCCATTTAGAAAGTCTTTGAGGGCATACAGGCTTGCTACCAAAAGTTACAAAAAGTTGAGATGATTTAAGAAAAGGCTTTTTTCTGGAAAGATAAAAGGACGTAGCTCTAAGTATGTCTAGTGAGTAGAGTTTATTGTCTGTAGGAGAATCTTGAAGCTTATGAAAACATATTGGTAAGGCAATAAATTATATGGAAGACCAAAAATGCTTTTGGTAAAAAATCTGGATGATGCCTTAGGAAACAAAGCATACAGAGAATGAACCATCAAATCTTGAATTTTGGTTATCCTGCCAGCCAAGGTGATGACTACCAAACACACAGTTTTAACAGAGAAGTAAAAATAGGAGCTGCAGGAACGGCGAACCGTTGACACTGGGAGCTGCGGGGAGCCGTGCCTGCGGACGGTCAACATAAACAAAATGTCTCGCGGCCCACCAGGGGATTATCCTGACAGGCAGCGTGCCAAAGGCTGCCGACCCCTGTTTTAGTGACTGCAGCAGTCACTGAACATACTGCAGCGTCAGACATCCAGTGAGGCTTGCAGAGCTGTCTTGGCCACCAACTGGCCTTCTGTAGCCACTGCCTTCAGTTCATCTATGGTCTCCCGAGGAGGTTTTTCAGACAGATGTAAAACCTTTCCCCTGAAGAAAATTGTTGTTAGCCAATAAGGTTGATCATCAGCTATGCGAGTCTGCAAACTAGCAGATGAGTAAACTTTTCTCCCCAGAAGATCCATCTGCTTCGGCTCCTTGTTCCTGGGTTTAGTTTAGGGGGCCCAGGCAGCTTAGAGCTTTCCTAAGCTATCACTACAACCAAAGACCCATGGCCTGGCTGTGTGACAAAGTACTCAAACGCCTCAAAAAGTACAAATGATCTGCCCTCTTAGATGGCAAACTCGAGAATGCCTTTCATTAATAGGCATGGTCCAACAACCCTGGGATACCGGGTGCAGGATGTCAATAAGTTATGTGACCTCTCCTGCACATTCTCCAGGAGAATCTCTAAAGTACCCACCATTCTTTTAAGGAGGTCCTTAAATGCCCTGACATTGCGTATTGTGGACATATCAGACAGAGTCATGGTCTTGTCAGATGGCCAGGGAACAGGCTGGTCCTCATAGTCCTCCATGAGGACTTCCTCACCAATTTTCAGGAGTTCCTGATGAGATGAATGAGACTCCCTAAAAGAATCCCTAAGGGAAAAGGGCAATTTTACTCTGGATCTCGATGAATCTCTTGAAATCCTGGGAGTGGGTTGGCTTCTGAAGGCCTCTCCCTTAGCCTAAAGGGACAAGCCAATAAACCCAGGGTTCACGTAAAAGCAGAGGATAACAAATGATTAAACAGGAATGGGAGTGAGGGTCACAAGGTCAAAAGCAGGAAGCCAGAGTAGGACGCTGAGCAGAGAACCCCAGACAAGGCCCACTGCTCCTCGAAGGCGTCCAGGGAGCCAGTGGATGCGGCCAAGAGGAACTCTGCGTGGATATGTGAGCAAAGCAAGAAGCGGAAGAACCCCACAGTCACAGGGCACCTCTCTGTCCAGCATCCTCCTCTTGGTATGGTGGATGGCCACTTTGGTCAGCACCAGGAAGAAGATGACCAGGAGGTCTTGTAACTTCATGGGGCCACGGATAGGATGTGCAGACATCAGAAGGTCCGGGGAAAAGTGCAGCCAGAAGCTGAGGAGAAGGTTCTGGAGGAGCCAGAAAAGGGGCTGCAGCCTGGTGCATTCGAGATAGATGTGCACCAGGATCTCCCTCATGCCACAGAAGGGGAAAGTGTCAGGAAGGGGGCTGTACTGCACCAAGTACATGCCTGTGCACACGGTTCCATGAAGGAGCCACCAAAGAATATTCCCAGCGGGCCATGGAACCAAAGCGGAATACAGACTGGCCCAGCAGGGCTCCTCACCGTCCACAGGTGGTAGGAGGCCCTGCCATTTGGTGTCGGGGCAGGAGACGAGGGTGAAGAAATTAGAAGTATGGAGCATGAGCAAGTGCAGCTGTGTCCTAGGCATGGTTCAGTAACGCAGAGAGTGCGGCCGGAGCTCGCGGGGGCAGGCACCGATGACAAGGTCCAGAGGGCCAGGGGCAGGCGGGGAGCATCCTCCCACAGGCTGGTTCTTGACACACATAAATAAGCAGTCGATGGAAGAGGCTGAGGTCTCCACAGAGACCAAGAGGGCCAGGTTTACAAACCACATGGGAAAGGCATATGATACTACAAATGCGGAAACCAGGGCATGAGACCTCTCTGAAGCACTCCTTCCAAGGCCATTCACATGTTGCTAGGTGAGGTGGAGACTTCCTAGAAGGGCTCCTGATGCCGTGCAAAGATGAGGATGCAAATGTATAAAATTCCTTTCACAGAGGTGGTGATTCCTGAGGTGTAGGAAGGGGAAGAGCCTCACATCTGACAGCATAAGAGATAGTCACCAACACCACAGAGGTTGGACATGGAAAAAATTTCATCTTCGGAACATTCGGCTGTGGTACCAAAAGAGTCCTGCATACTGGAGAAAAAGGACAGAAATCTAGCAATGGGGACTCCTGTTCCAAAGTGATAGAAGGTGATGTCAAAGCAACTTTAGTGGATGAAGAAGGAAGCACCCATGACTCCAAGATGCCCACAGTACCGAGATAATGTTGTCAGTCACCGAAGGTATAGGATGCAGTACCATAGCTAAGGAACATGAGCCTCCCAGTCTTTGAAGGCTCACAATACCAATGTGGTTTCAAAGGAGCCATTTTAGACAAGTCCTCTTCTTTGTTGGTACCAGGGATGGCAATTGATGCTGAGCCCTGTCTGGAGGTCTTTCTTCTTTTCTGGCTCCGGCAGCAGGAACTACTGATTGACCTGAGGAGGACTGACAAGAAGACTCAGAGTGCTTGACAGCAGCATGAAGTCTTCTGAGGACAAAGATCTATCTGCCAGAGAGATGTCTCTTATAGCTGAAGCACTCATTGAAACTGGTTTCAAAGCCAGAAGAGACTGTTCCCAAGGGGGTACCTCAGAGTCAGACACACTCCACGTAGATCTTTCCATTAAAAATAATTTTACACTGGCATCATGAGCCCTCTGTATGTGCTTAGAAAGAGCTATAAATGGCACACTAGCTAGGGATATGAGACTCCCTTAAACACTTTCTAGATGCATCATGGGCAGGCAGAACAGTCTTGCAGGCAGGGCAGATTTTAAAGCTCAGAGACCTGTTCTCTGCCATCAGACTTATTCCTTGGTACTGAGGAAAGACTCATAGAAAGCAAAATTGCTTTAATTTATGTTTGTTTGTTTTAGCAGCAAGCTTAACTAAAACTTACCAAGAAAATACACTAACTCCAAGCTAACTACCTACAACCCTAAAACTACTAAAATGCTAAGAGGAAGCAGGAGGACACTGGGCTGTGACTTGCTACCATGGGCAGTGAGAAAGAACTGAGTAGCTGTTGGGGCTGCCCCTCCTTTTACACCCTGCCGTAGGGGGCAGATGGGGCACATGTACAGCCCCAGCAGACACTGCCAGCTAAAAGATTCCAGGCTCACGCACACAGGGCACATACACCTACAGTGGGAGCCGAACAAATGTGGCAGCCAGAGATTGAACAAGGGACCTCTGAATTTCAAAGCACGACACTACTGCCTAAAGTACAACACCCTGCTCAGTTAGCCGAGGCTGCAGTAGGCTCATCAAACTCTATGTGTGGCCCAGCTGCCACCAGCAGAGTGCTACACAGAGTGGGTGTGGGATACATCAATCTTGTCCTTAATTCAGCTCTGCTGCATCTAGATGTTACAGCACGTGTACTGTGATATGTAAGCTCATCAGCGCAGGAGTTCAGATCCTGCAGGATGCTGAGTGCCCTTAATTTCCACTGAGTTCAATGGCAGATGAAGCCATTCAGCACCTCGTGATATTGGAGGGGTGCATGATACAATCACAAGGGACAGTTTTCACTTTAAAAATGTTTTGATGAAGCAAATTTATCACTGTGTATTTTTCAGAAATAAAACAGAGCCATTACCTGAGGATGTCCATCTGGGGCCCGTCCTTTGTATACTTGAATTTGAACTGATACAGCTCAGTCACCCTCTAGACATTCACAAAGGGAGCAGAAAAAAACAAGTCTTTCAGCAACATGCTGCCAAAGAAAGCTCAATAGATTGTGCAGGAAACTCTCTGGTGTCCATGCTTCCTCATTCCTATGCCTGTCTAGCAGCATCAAATTATTGACTAGGCTCCATTTTGATCTCAAAAATCATCTGCAGATTTTCTTAAAAGAAGCAAATACAAACCCACTTCTGGGCTGAGAAGAAACATGAGAAACTCCAACTCAAAAGGAAGTTGGGGGAGAAAAAGCAGGAGCCACTTAAAACAGGAGGTCATAATGCAAACGGCATGCGAACTAGAGCGTACACCAGTGACGCTACGGTTCGGGCTGGTTGAAAATTCCGCATCCAAATGGGTTTCCGATGGAACACTGGGTTTCTGACTAAATAATTTTTTGTCAAAATTTTTTGCCTGAGCACAGAAAAATGTCGATTTTGAAATGCTGCTGCAGGGTCTCATGGGAGCTGTAGTCCAGGTGCCTCTTGCTCCCATTTTCCTCGAGGGCCAGGCTCCCCAGCCAGACTACATCTGTGTGATGCACCCGGGCCACGCAACTGCCATTGCCAAGAGGGACCTGTGGTGCACCCTGGCCATGCCCTTCCCTTGCCAAGAGGGGGCCTGTGGTGCATCATGGGAGATGCAGTCCTTCCAGGGAACTCATACAGGTGAATGGGAGCGTGAGGTTTCGGATCTACAACTCCTGTGGGACAGCGGCAGCAGATCAGAATGAAAATATTTCCGTTTTCGATATTTTGCTGAAAACTCAACATTTTCTGAGGAAAATAAGAAACCATAAACAGCTCTGGCTATAACACATTTAAAGGGCATTTCGGTAAGGTTTTGGAGGGGGATACTAATCCCAGCCTTGGTAGCCAAGTATATGGAGTAAATTCTTGCTCTTCTTCCATGAGCCGCATTGCGGGGCAGTGGAACAGTAGTGGATGGGCAGAGGTTCCGTCTTTACAGGACAGATGACGACATAAGGAACAGTGTGCATTATCCTCAGCTCCTGCTTCTGGTCTTCAGCAGAAGGGAGCAAGGTCCTACCTATGCCCCTAAGCTACCCAACAAGCAACACCAGGTGCAACAGACAGGCCCACAGCCTAGTACTCAAGAGGAGCACTGGATCACCACTCTGCCTGGCATCCAAGTTGGTCTGCTGGGGTGAAGGAATAAGAGAAAGAGGTAGCTTATGTCTCCTCGCTCAACCATGCATACCTGTCAAATCAAGGCAGAATTTAACCCTATGAGCCCATTCCAAATATAGTACAACTCACCCCTGCAATTGATTTCCCCCTAAGTAGAGCTTGACTACTCCTTACCTGTGGCTCCTTGGGATTGGTGTAAATCTGTTTTAAGAAAGTACAGTGAATGCATCTTTCTCTCTGATAAAATGTAGAGGTGAGACGTAATCAAACAACTGAATCTCTATCATGCCCTAAGAACACGGGGTATGTCTAGACTGCAATCATGGGTAGTGATTAGGGTGACCACCCATCCCTTCGCTTAAGCGATGTCTCCTGACCATTTTAAACATTAAATTGATGCTTATCATAATTGCATGGTATACTGGAGGGTAGCAGAAATCTACACTTGATACACTAAGGTAAATTGTGTTTCCCTAAAATGTCCCTTAAAATAAAGCGCTGTCCCTTATTTTTCGTGTGGCTTTCCCTTATTTCCATCCAACAAAGGTGGTCGCCCTAGCTGTGACTGCAGCTTGAGCTGATATACCCAACCTAGCTTTAATCTCACTAGCTTGGGTATGGGAACAGTGAAGCTGCTGGTTTGGGGCTGACTTGTATAGCCCAGGCCAATGCTTGCAATGACGCAACTTCACTGCTCCAGGGGCAAGCGCTCCATAAAAGATCAAACCATATGACCGTCTATACAATAGCCTTCCTCTGGCAGCAGCCAATACCTGTTGCTGCAGAGTAAGGTGGAAAAAACATCCATGATGTGAAATTTTGCAGGGCTCAGGGGAGAGCCCATCCTGACCCTCACCAGCGATCAATGAATGCCCTCATGCATGAGGATTAGTTACCCGGATCTTCGCTATGGTGTCTAGAATACCTACAAGTGCTTTACAAAGGTACGTGTCAGAGGCTGGCCGTGCACAATCTCTGCAACACCAAGGGTGCCAATGGCAACTTGCCAGAAACCTGAGGGCTAAAGGGTTTGTCCCATCAATGGTAACAAGAAGGCAACTGAAGAGAATGCTCATTGAGATGGGAAGGGAAGGAGGCAGTTGCCCATTTCTGTTTGGGGCACAGGCAGAAAGAAGCAGCAATGCGAAGCACATGGCAGTGCTTGTAATCAGTATCCTAGACCTGGGCTCTGATTACGCTACAGACTTCTGCTGGCACAGGTACATCAGCCAGGGGTATAAAGAAGCCTCTACAGCAGACGCAAATATACCAGCAAAACTGTGCTTTTACTGGGATAGCTTGCTTTGCTGGTAGGGGGTTGTTTTACTTTAGTTGGATCCACACTGGGAGCACTCTGCCAGTATTATATGCTGGTGTTCCTATACCAGTAAACTGTTCCTAGTGTGGACATGGCCGTAGTGATTTAAGGATGAATATTCTGCACCACTGATGGAAGTGAAAGCTGCATCCAGCAAATGTTCCCATGCAACCTAAGACATTAACATTTATCTTGTGAAGAGAGAAGCTATTGCTCCAAACTGAGGCTAACTCCATTGCCATGAGCTCTTTAACGCTCCCTAAGTACGGACAGAGATGGGCAGAAGGGCCCTTAGTTTAACGTCTCATCCAACCACCGTGGGGGAAGGAAAACACCTTGCATTCATTTAACGGATGACTTACTGCCAGGACAGCCATATGTAACTGGAAGAGAAGATAAGAGCCTAGTCAAAATCTGAGTGCCTCGAGTAATGAAGGAGTAAATACATTCAATGGTTTGCAAGTCAGGGCTTTTCATACATACTCTTGCTAATTCAGATGCACTTGGGTGCAACATCAGTGACACCCTGTGGCCAGTTTTATTAACTACATCAGGGGTCGGCAACCTTCAACGCAAGGCCTATCAGGGTAATCCGCTGGCGGCCGCGAGACATTTTCTTTATGTTGACCATCTGCAGGCACAGCCCCCTGCACCTACCAGTGGCGGCGGTTTGCCATTCCTGGCCAATGGGAGCTGCGGGAAGCGGCGGCCAGCAGATCCCTGCAGCCTGCCGCTTTCCACAGCTCACATTGTCAGGAATGGGAGCTGCGGGGGGGTCGCATCAACGTAAACAAAAAGTCTCGTGGCCCACCAGCGGATTACCCTGGTGGGCCGCATGCTGAAGGTAGCCGACCCTGAACAACAATCACATTTTTCGAAAGATCTATAAATAAGGCCCTACCAAATTAACGGCCATGAAAAACACATCACAGACCATGAAATTTGTCTCCCCCAGTGAAATCTGGTCTTTTGTGTGCTTTTACCCTATACTATACCGATTTCAAGGGGGGAGACCAGCATTTCTCAGATTGGAGGTACTGACCCAAAAGGGAGTTGTGTGGGGGTCGCAAGGTTATTTTAGGGGGGGGGATCATGGTATTGCCACCCTTACTTCTATGCTGCCTTCAGAGCTGGGCGGCCAGAGAGTGGCGGCTGCTGACTGAAGGCCCAGCTCTGCAGGCAGCAGCACCCAGGAGTGGCAATCCCAGACCAGGCCATCCTTAATTCTGCACTGCTACTGGCGGCGGCTCTGTCTTCAGAGCGGGGCTCCTGGCCAGCAGCCGCCGCTCTCCAGTTGCCCAGCTCTGAAGGCAGCACTGCTGCCTGCAGCAGTAAGCTTAGCAGTACAGCACCACCCCCTACAATAACCTCGTGACCCTCCCCTCACCTCCTTTTTGGGTCAGGACCCCTACAATTACAACACACTGAAATTTCAGATTTAAATAGCTGAAATCATGAAATTTACTATTTGTTAAATCCCATGACCATGAAATTGACCAAAATGGACTGTGAATTTGGTAGGGCCCTATCTATAAAATAGCTGTACATCCAGTCTTGCCTCTCAGTGTTCTCGCTTAACAGATTCCTTCTATTTAAAGCTCCTTGATACTGGCAGCCTTTTCTATTCAAGTCCAATGTAAGATCCCTTTTTTATTATGAATCTCACTGTTTTTACCCCACCTGCCATTAGCAACGAGGTTTCAGTCTTTGATCTCTGATATGGACTTCATCACAGACACCTAACACCTTGTTCACCTATGGACTGCACTATGGCAAGGAACTGTACTTGACACTAGCCTTGTAAACCACTCGAAAGCTTTGGCTAGAGAAAGCATTAGTTCACTTGCTGACTGAAACAAAGGAACTGCCTCAGTAGATCAAACCAGTGACCCATCTGGCCTAGTACCATCTCCATGACGCTGACTAGCACCAGATGCTTCAAAGGAATGTGCAAAAAACCTGGAGGAGTGGATAATTATGGAATAACTGCTCACAGGAGTTTTTTCCTAATCCCTGTCAGTTAGAAGTTGATTTATGTGCTGAAGTATGAGGGTTTGAATCTCTTCTAAATGGTGGAGACCATTATCTATTTAAAGCTGACTGTTTGATTTGTCGGTAAGCAAGTATTTGAGTTCAGAACATTTCACATCATTTCATCTACAACAACAGTAGAATTGACATAGACAAGCGTCAGTCTGATCAGCAGTGCAGATATTGACAAGAATCCATCTGATTTAGGTAAGAGTCATTCAGATATAGATCACAGTCTGATGAACAACGCTGATACACAGAGAGCAATCAGCACTTTATATTTACAGGTCAGATTTTCCTCAGATTGCGTAAGTGAGGGCTGGGATTACTTAAAAATGTGCATTTATTCTGAAACCACGTACTCAAGCCTTGTATTTGAAAGAATACAAAAAGGAAAGGAAATCTAAACTCAGGGCAGGTCTACATTTAAAAACGTTGCATTAGCACAGCCGCACGCCGCCGTAGTATTTAAGTGAAGACGCTCTTAGGTCTTCCGTTGGCAGAGCTAATCCACCTCCGTGAGAGGCAGTAGCTCTATCAATAGGAGAAGCTTTTCTTTCAGCATAGCGCTGTCTGTCTACATGGGGTGGGGGGTGGTTGGTTAGTATAACGATGTTGCTCGGGGGTATGGATTTTTCACACCCCTGAGCAATGTAGTTACACCAATATAAGTCTGAGGTGTAGACCTGACCTCTATATGGAAAACAGAGATGACAACAAAATGAAGAAAAAGGAAAAGAGGAAAGAAAGGCAAGGAGACGGTAAAAGAAGGGGTGAAGGAAAGAGGGAGCAGAGAAGAATATGGGAAAGAACAAAGGCAGGGAGAGAGATTTGCTTTGACTGACAGAATCTGCATCCATCCATTAAAAGATGTGAATGTAGAACAGAGAATGCAGGGGAGAACCCTGCAGCCTGCAAATTAGTGTGGAAACCATTCACAACAAGCAGGTCTAGACACTAATAATGGTTACTACGCTACGGCATGTTACAAAGGAGTAAGAGTCCACGTCACAAACACACAGAGCAGCTTTCCTTCGTCCCCTGTGGCACAGATCTCTATTGTGTACTTGTTCTGTATGTACAGTTTCCACTGGGATCACTGGCGAATATATAGCAGAGATGCTCCCTGCAGGAATGCACAAGGAAAACTGGAGCGGAATTTTGCCCATTGTTAGTGAAGAAAGATAATATTACCAAAATATCAAACAAAAACTTACATAGTTCTTTTCCAAAGCATCAAAACAGCCCTGAATCCTGCCAGGAAAGAAATGTTAGTAACTAGTCATGCCAGTCTAGCAGCATCACTTATGAGATGGAGTTTAGAGTGCACATTTACAAACATTAAGCAGTATGGAGCTGACAGCATTTTTAGCTTGTAACGCCCTCTTCAGGTCACTCAGCAATTAAGTGATTCTCCCCTCCATATGTGTGCACAGTTTATACACTAAGGCTCTGGTCCTGTGAACACTTCTTACCAGGCGTCCTGGGACTACTCAAAATAGTAAACCCTAGACTGGGTAGTAATGGCCAGATCGTTGGCCCCATTCTGGCCTCTTTGTGCTGATGGATCCAGCCAGCTGGGTGTTCCTTTGGCATAGCTATGAGGAAGGAGGCATGGCTGGAGTGCTGCTGCAATCATGACTTTAGGCTGCTCTAAACTATCCTGAGACAGTGCAGAACTGGCCCCAGGACTGGAGAACTGCATATGGCTCCTCTGCAGCCTCCTCATCTGAGCCTGGTGTTTACAGGACACAGCAGATAGCTGAGCCATAAGTATTTGCAGGATTGGGTTCTTACAGTATTTAAGCAACACAGAAGTGCTGAAGTGAGCTGTAGCTCACGAAAGCCTATGCTCAAATAAATGTGTTAGTCTCTAAGGTGCCACAAGTCCTCCTTTTCTTTTTACAGAAGTGCTACACTCCCTATAACAACTCCCTCTGCAGATAGGAAGGAGTAATGCCATGTTTCTGAAACCTGAAGAAGAGCTCTGTATACGCTTGAAAGCTTGTCTCTCTCACCAACAGAAGTTGGTCCAACACAAGATATTACCTCACCCACCTTTCTCTCTCTGTTTCTGAAATGCATTTATTAACTAGAACTCTAGAAAGCTAAGGGCCTAGTTATGCCCCCAGAAACAGACACAACTTCCACTGAAGAGAAAAAACGGCACATATTAGTTAAAAATCAATCAAGCATATAAAATCACTTTAAAAACTAGGTTTCAGAGTAACAGCCGTGTTAGTCTGTATTCGCAAAAAGAAAAGGAGTACTTGTGGCACCTTAGAGACTAACCAATTTATTTGAGCATGAGCTCAAAACTAGAAATACCAAATATGTAACCTATGGAAACAAGTAACCTCACAACGTTGTTTAGAGTGAGCCTCATTCCTCCTTTACCTGCTTTGTTTGTTCAATTGAGGGCCTGATCCCGCTCTTATTGAGGTCAATGAGATCACATTTACATTGGAAGCTCGTTGGCGAGGGACCATGCCTTCGTTATATACGGTGCCAAGCACACACAGCTTTTATAATAAATCAGTGGGCACTGCTTTGGCAAATCCAGTATCATTGGCCCTGAAGGATTTCAAATTTAGGAAGTAAAGGCCTGTGGTACAATGCCATATTGCTGTTCAGCATAAACTTATCATAGGACTTGTCTACACGAACAGTTAGACTGCGGAAAACTGAGATTAAATCAACCCCACGCAAGCTTGCTGCAGACTAACTGCCTGAGTGCACCCTGCTGACGTGGGTTAACAGCTCTTTAATGTACTTTGAGCTCGTCCCATTTCAAAGAAGACTAGTTGGAAGCGCTCCAGCAAACCGTCAATGGGTACCAGCAGGGTGCACACGGACATTGGAGTGCAGCAGACTAGTCCAGGATAGATTCATACCCCAGCTTGTCGTGGTCTAATTGTTCGTTTAGGCAAGCCCTAAGTTTCACTGTTATTCACTTACCACTTGACTATCTGCAGTGACCCCAGGCAGCTCTTATCTTCCCGAAGGATTTTTAGACAGAGATCTGCAAAACAAAAGTTAGCATCTAGTTACAAAGCGTATCTGGAGCCACTGGGCAAACACTGAAATCAAGTCAGTCATCAACGTATGAAGTATTTTATCTGGAAACACTTCCTGAGCTGGAAGAATGGTTTTAACAGCATCCCAGGTGGGCTGACACAGGCTCACTGCTGTAGTTTACAATGCCAAAGACCTTTGCTGAAATACACTGAACTCTTCCAGGAAAAAGTACTGGGGTTACGGATTTATGGAGTGTGGCTTCATTTAGAAATGCCAGCAACTTCCTTTCCCCTCAGTCCCCATTCTCATCTTATTCTGGCACTTCCCAACAGCACCCTCTAGTTCTGCACTCTAGTGTTCACTAACACACAAATAAGCTAAACAACTGTGCTCAAAATAAGCTAACGCTGTGACGTTTCCCCACCGGGCTCCTGTGGCCCTTTCGTCCTCCAAGTTTAGGAGTTAGGATCCACAAGCAGAAAACTCCTAAAGTTGAAGCCAATGCTGATAGGCCAACCACAAAGGTGAATTAATGCCTTGGGGCCCAATCCTGCAGCTCTCTAAGGAATGAGTGGGTCAAATGTCAAGATTCTTGCGCAGAAAGGCACTTGAAGATCTGAAATCTGATCAGAAAGACTGATGACCTTTCGGATGGAAAAATCAAAAGTCAAATTTGGGATTTCCTCTTCCGTCCTCAGCAGGCCATAATGAACAAGTGACCAGATTTCAAGATACAACTCTACGAGAACACGGAAATGAACTGTACCCCATTTCAAGCATAAATCAAGGATGATAAATCTATAGAGCTGGAAAATATGGAGTCACTCCCTCTCCCCACCTTCAGATCCTAACTTAATATAAAGATGCAGATGAATCAAAGTTTCATCATATGGTGTGACCTTGCCACAAGTCTCACAATACCTTGTGTTTTTCTTAAAGCCTCATCTCTGAAGCCACGTGATTATGTGAGAATCTCAGTTTTCATTTACAAAATCTCCAGATTATAGAGAAAAGCTTGAAAATCTGACCCCTATGGCTCAAAAACAGAAGGCAACAATAAAAAAAACCCTGACATTTATTATTTCTAAAAATCTAATGATTTTTAAGCCAGTCTTGTGATTTTGGGGGAGCCTGACACATGGTTTTGGAATGCTTGGGATTGGTAATATTGATGAAATTGCTGAGTAATGAATGCAACTGGAAAACAAAACAAACATTGAGAGAAACAGCTGATGGTTGCCACTAGCTCTAAGGGTATGTCTACACTACAAAATTCAGTCAATTTCATAGAAGTCGATTTTTAGAAATCGATTTTATACAGTCGGTTGTCTATGTCCCTACTAAGTGCATTAAGTCAGCGTAGTGCATCCTCAATACCGTGGCTAGCATCGATTTATAGAGCGGTGCACTGTGGATAGCTACTTTTATTTTTAAAAATCTAATGATTTTTAAGCCAGTCTCGCGATTTTGGGGGAGCCTGAGACATGGTTTTGGAATGCTTGGGATTGGCAATACTGATGAAATTGCTGAGTAATGAATGCAACTGGAAAACAAAACAAACATTGAGAGAAACAGCTGATGGTTGCCACTAGCTCTAAGTTGTCTTCCTGCCATAGGAGCTTTTCCTGTATCAGGGCTGCTGGATAAGGCCCATAGGCTCACATCCTGAAAGATATTTAGGTGCCTAATTCCCACTGATTTCAATAGAAATCTGGCACCTACATACCGCACGCTGAGGATTTGGGCCACGGTCAGCAATGTTCCTACAAAAGACTGAACTTGTCAAATATGTGAACAGCACTGGACTAATCTGTACTGGGCAAAGATAATGCATAGAAACATAGTAGCATGCATTGAAAACATTACCATCTAAATAGCGAGTTCCATATGAGCTCTCTGGGAAGAGCCCTCTTAGGTACGTTATACAGGAGACAGAGATGGCCAAAAGCCTTTTCACCAGCACCATGGACTGCTGGTCAGTGGCAATTTTGTGTGGAAACAACACTGATTCCTGAAAAAAGACAAAGACAAAAATATTACTGGTTTTAGACCCGTGCAAAGGCCCAGCGCCAGAGGGGAGAATCAGCAGGTTTAGAGGTAGTCTAAATTGGGGTAATTTTACCCTTTCTTTTGGTTTCCATAGTGTGTATGCCACTCACTTACATGTTGGTGGACTAAGTATAACTAGCTCAAGGAGCATCTAACACACTTAGCCCAAAGTTTATTGCTACACAAAAGCTTTTGCTCACAGTATTAATACATTGTCATACAGGCAGAGAACTATTGCCACAGTTCCACAGGGCTGGTGTCACTGAATTCCAGTGACAAAAAAGGGCTCTGAGGTCTACACACTGGAAAAGAAGCACTATTCTGCGGGTGGACTGGGGGGGGGGGGGGGCGCTTCTCAACTGCTCAGATATTTTGAGTCCAGAAGGCAGACACAGCCTGCAGAAAGGCTTCCAACAAAACCAGAGGTTATAGGCAAATCCGGTTTCTAAAAGAATGTGGGATTTTGCTTAGTAAGAGCTAAGCACTCATACACTTTTCCATGCCTAGGACTCTATTTATTATGAATAAGGCTAAGATTTTGCCATGGGCAATAAATAAAAATTCATGGGGCCCGTGACTTTTCCTAAAAATAACCACACACGCCACGGCAGAGACGCACAGCCCCAGCTGCAGCCCCCAATGCGGGGCAGGGGCACACGGCCCCAGCAGCAGCCCCCGTCGCAAGCCGCAGGGCAGGAGCATATGGCTCCGATGGCAGCTCCCACCGTGAGGCTCTGTGGGGAGCATAGCCCCAGCTCCAGCCCCAGCCATGGCTCCAGCTGCTGACAGCTGAAGAAGTCACGAAGGTCCAGTAAAACCACGGAATCTGTGACTGCCGCGACCTCCATGACTAAATCGTAGCCTTAATTATGAATACTAAACAGCAAGTAGTGGTGACGATCTAGCAGTCCCTTCTGATCTTCATGACACCTGGTATTAACATGCAAAATCTCTGTGAAAAGGAGTCCCACTACCAATTCATTGTCTTTTTCTCCTCCAGGGCGGCTCTGCGTGCCCTAGGACTTTTACGTAGCCAAGCACCAGTATCCAGCACCTCAGCACCGACTCGCCTACAAATCCTCAGGCTGCTTAGCCAGCATCTTCTTGGCTACCCTGGCCTGGAGACAACTGTTTTCAAAACCCAACAAAGACACAGTGTAATCAGCACTGAGCACACTGCCTGCCCTGGGAGCAAGGGATGGGAACGGTAATCAAAGCTAGGTTTCCAGCTCTGCAGGGCTGAGTACTACTCGGCCAGCACGTTGATCAGTAACATTAAGTCCTAAATCCTGTACCTTGGAGGTTTTATGCTTCTGCCCAGTGTGTGAGAGCTGAGCCATGGCCATAGCATCTCAAAGTGCTGCCTTCCATATGCAATTAGAACCTGCAGAGAAATAGACATTAACCACTTGGCAAATACAGGATTCCTGAAATTTCTTATCTTCCTGAGCATAAGAACCAGACTGCATAAGAACTCTCTCCAGGACTGAAAGCCGAGCTCTTGCCAGGACAGCTAAATGGTGTCAGACTGATGTCACTCTGTGCCACAGTTTGGAAGTTCACATGGCAGGAAGAACACCTCATTATCTATAAACAAACTGTCAATAGTACTGGAAATTCAGGGCCAGATCCACAGCTGGTGGAAATTGTTGTGGCTCCAGAGACTTCAATGGAGCTAGGCCAATTTACATCAACTGAGGATCTGGCTCTCTCTCTCTTTGACAGAGGTGCTTTTAATCCTCATGCTGGTGCACAGAACAGTGCTACTGCTCAGAAATGCTGAGCCGACTCCCAGACAGCTGTTTTAACAATCCAAAGAGCATTGTGCTTTTAAAAGAGCACTGTTGAGCTGAAAGCAAAATATTAATCTTGACCCATTTTAAGCCTCTATCTGAAACATCCCACACATTTTTAAAATAATACTAATCTCCATTTATCTTCCATAGAAATATAGGGATTTAATCCCCTTTTAAGTGAGAATTTTATCGGAGCCTGCCTACTGAGCCACTATAGATGTCTTCATAATATAGCATTTTTTACCTTCAAAATTCTTGACAAACATTAACAAACTAATGCTCACTACATTCCCCAAAGGTAGAGAAGCATCATAGAATCATAGAAGTGGAAGGGACCTCGAGAAGTCATCTAGTCCAGTCCGCTGCACTCAAGGCAGGACTAAGTATGATCTAGACCATCCCTGATAGGTCTTTCTCTAACCTGCTCTTAAAAGTCCCCAATGATGGAGATTCCACAACCTCCCTAGGGAATTTATTCCAGTGCTTAACCACTCTAACAGTTAGGAATTTTTTCCTACTGTCCAACCTAAACCGTCCTTGCTGCAATTTAAGCCCATTGCTTCTTGTCCTATCCTCAGAGGTTAAGAAGAACAATTTTTCTCCCTCCTCCTTGTAACAACCTTTTACATACTTGAAAACTGTTATCATGTCCCCTCTCAGTCTTCTCTTCTCCAGGCTAAACAAACCCAATTTTTTCAATCTTCCCTCATAGGTCATGTTTTCTAGACCTTTAATCATTTTTGTTGTTCTTCTCTGGACTTTCTCCAATTTGTCCACATCTTTCCTGAAATGTGGAGCCCTGAACTGGACACAATATTCCAGCTGAGGACTAATCAGTGCAGAGTAGATCGGAAGAATTACTTCTCGTGTCTTGCTTACAATACTCCTGCTTAGACATCCCAGAATGATTTTTGCTTTTTTTGCAACAACGTTACACTGTTGACTCATATTTAGCTTGTGATCTACTATGACCCCCAGATCCCTTTCCGCAGTGCTCCTTCCGAGGCAGTCTTTTCCCATTTTGTATGCGTGCAACTGATTGTTCCTTCCTAAGTGCAGTACTTTGCATTGTCCTTATTGAATTTCATCCTATTTACTTCATACCATTTCTCCAGATTGTCCAGATCATTTTGCATTTTAACCAAAGAACCATAGAAGATTAGGGTTGGAAGAGACCTCAGGAGGTCATCTAGTCCAATCCCCTGCTCAAAGCAGGACCAACACCAACTAAATCATCCCAGCCAAGGCTTTGTCAAGCCAGGCCTTAAAAACCTCTTAGGATGGAGATTCCATAGAATCATAGAATATCAGGGTTGGAAGGGACCTCAGGAGGTCATCTAGTCCAACCCCCTGCTCAAAAGCAGGACCCATACCCAATTAAATCATCCCAGCCTGGGCTTTGTCAAGCCTGACCTTAAAAACTTCTAAGGAAGGAGATTCCACCACATCCCTAGGCAACGCATTCCAGTGTTTCACCACCCTCCTAGTGAAACAGTGTTTCCTAATATCCAACCTAGATCTCCCCCAATGCCACTTGAGACCACTGCTTCTTGTTCTGTCATCTGCCACCACTGAGAACAGCCTAGCTCCATCCTCTTTGGAACCCCCTTGGGGTAATTGAAGGCTGCTATCAAATTCCGCCTCAGTCTTCTCTTCTGCAGACTAAATAACCCCATTTCCCTCAGCCTCTCCTCGTAACTCATGTGCCCCAGCCCCCTAATCATTTTCGTTGCTCTCCGCTAGACTCTCTCCAATTTTTCCACATCCCTTCTGTAGTGGGGGGCCCAAAACTGGATGCAATACTCCAGGTGTGGCCTAACCAGTGCCGATTAGAGAGGAATAATCACTTCCCTCGATCTGCTGGCAGTGCTCCTACTGTGACAGTTCAGCCCATAAGGCTTTATGGAAATATGCTTATGAATGTATATATGACATAACTGGAATATGTTTTGTGCTACTTATGCCATGTAACATATCTCTGTAAAGGTTATGATCTACTGAATCTATTAATCCTGTTTGTATGCATGTATCATTTTTGTATTCAAAGTTATGAATATTGGCTGTGTACTTGCTTGATTTTTAAGTAGCCTTAGTAAAGCATTTGGTCAGCTTCTTGAGACAGGAACGTGCAAATTAAGTGCCCAACCAAGAAACACTTAATGAACAATGGATCTTGGAAGGCTCCAATCCACATAAAAAGTCTTCTGGAGACTTTCAAGATAGCATGTGGGCAATGGCTGCTGCCTGTAAAAACTGAGTCATGCATGGACATGTGACTTGCCCAGGTGACTCCAAAACTCCATCTTGGAGCTGGACTTTGCATAGGAGAGAGAAGGGGGTTCTCCACCCACAAGAGAAAGTCTATTTAAGCCCATGGGAGACCCTTCCATTTGGACTTCAGCTGGCTAAAGAGAGAGCCTCTCCACCCCCAAGGATACCTGTGAGAAACTGGAACAAAGGACAGTAACTACAAGGGATGTGAGTGATTGCTGGACCCAGACAAGAAGGAGACTAGTCTGTAAAAGGAAGCTTACTGGAACACCTCTGAGGGTGAGGTATTCAGTTTTCTTACTGTATTAGGCATTGGCTTGCGTGTTTTATTTTATTTTGCTTGGTAATTCACTTCGTTCTGTCTGTTACTACTTGGAACCACTTAAATTCTACTCTCTGTATTTAATAAAATCACTTTTTACTTATTAATTAACCCAGAGTATGTATTAATACTGGGCGGGGGGGGGAGGAACAGCTGTGCATCTCTCTCTATCAGAGTTATAGAGGGCAAACAATTTATGAATTTACCCTGTATAAGCTTGATATGGGGTGTCTAGGTTCCTTCCCCACTCTGAACTCTAGGGTAAGATGTGGGGACCTGCATGAAAGACCCCCTAAGCTTATTTTTACCAGCTTAGGTTAAAAACTTCCCCAAGGTACAAACTTTGCCTTGTCCTTGAACTGTGTGCTGCCACCACCAAGAGTGTTAAACAAAGAACAGGGAAAGAGCCCACTTGGAGATGTCTTCCCCCCAAAATATCCCCCCAAGCCCTACACCCCCTTTCCTGGGGAAGGCTTGATAAAAATCCTCACCAATCTGTATTGGTGAACACAGACCTAAACCCTTGGCTCTTAAGAACAAGGAAAAAGCAATCAGGTTCTTAAAGAGAATTTTAATTAAAGAAAAAGTAAAAGAAAAACCTCTGTAAAATCAGGATGGTACATATCTTACAGAGTAGTCAGATTCAAAACATAGAGAATCCCTCTAGGCAAAACCTTAAGATACAAAAAGACACAAAAACAGGAATATGCATTCTCTCCAGCACAGCTTATGTTACCAGCCATTAAACAAAAGAAAATCTAACGCATTTTCTAGCTAGATTACTTACTAACTTAACAGGAGTTGGAAGGCTTGCATTTCTGATCTGTTCCCAGCAAAAGCATCATACAGACAGACAAAAGCCTTTTCCCCCCTCCAGATTTGAAAGTATCTCGTCCCCTCATTGGTCATTTTGGGCCCGGTGCCAGCAAGGTTATCTTAGCTTCTTAACGCTTTACAGGTGAAAGGGTTTTGCCTCTGGCCAGGAGGGATTTTATAGCACTGTATACAGAAAGATGGTTACCCTTCCCTTTATATTTATGACATGGGGTAAAATGGATTTATTTGGGGTTTGGACCCCATTGGGAGTTGGGCATCTGAGTGTTAAAGACGTGAACACTTCTGAAGCTGCTTTCAATTAAGCCTACAGCTGTTCGGGGACGTCGTTCAGACCTGTGTCTGGGTTTGCAGCAGGCTACCGGGTCTGGCTCAAACCAGGTAGGGCACTGAAGTCCCAAGCTGCCAGGGCAGGAAAGCAGGGGCAGAAGTAGCCTTGGCACATCAGTTGGCAGCCCCAAGGGGGTTCCTGTGATCTAACCCGTCACACCTACTAATACAGCCCAATATGCCGTTGGCCTTCTTAGCAACAAGGGCACACTGCTGACTCATATCCAGCTTCTCGTCCACTGTAATCCCCAGGTCCTTTTCTGCAGAATTTCCACTTAGCCAGTTGGTCCCCAGCCTGTAGCACTGCACGTGATTCTTCCTTCCCAAGTGTAGGACTCTGCACTTGTCCTTGTTGAACCTCATCAGATTTCTTTTGGCCCAATTCTCCAATTTATCTAAGTCACTCTGGACCCTAACCCTACCCTCCAGCGTATCCACCTCTCCCTCCAGTTTAGTGTCATCTGTGAACTTGCTGAGGGTTCAATTCTTCCTATCATCCAGATCATTAATAAAGAGGTTGAACAAAACCACCCCCAGGACTGACCCCCTGGGGTACTCTGCTTGATACCAGCTGCCAACTAGACATTGAGCCGTTGATCACCACCTGTTGAGTCCGACAATCTAGCCAGCTTTTTATCCACCTTATAGTCATCCAATCCATACTTTTTTAACTTTTTTAACTTCTTCTCCACATGGGCACCAATGATACTGCCAAGAATGACCTTGAGCGGATCACTGCAGACTACGTGGCTCTGGGAAGAAGGATAAAGGAGTTTGAGGCGCAAGTGGTGTTCTTGTCCATCCTCCCCGTGGAAAGAAAAGGCCTGGGTA